ACTCCAGAGCTTGTGCTGTTGTCAGGCACGGCAGAGCTTGTACTCCAGAGCTTGTGCTGTTGTCAGGCATGGTGGAGCTTGTATTCCAGAGCTTGTGCTGTTGTCTAGTAGGTTATACTGCCCCTTATTTGAGTACTTTGTAGATGATTAGAGAGCATCGTATAAGTAGCACATACCTCATGTTTATGCCTGCTTTTAGGTCTTTCACCAAGAAAGCAAAATTATTTCCTGGAAAGAGCCAAGGATTGTTTTCTAATCCTGTCTCTACCTGGTGAACTGACCTGGGGCAAGTCGTTTCATCTGTGGGCTTTCTGTTTTTTAATTTCTAAAATGAAGGGGTTGGGCCAGATGACCCCTTGATTTGGCTCTCTAATTTATTCTCCAAGTTTTTTAAACTGTGTACTAAAGCTACATATTAAATATTCACAGTGTACACTCATGTTAGGCTCAGGGAAGTCCTATAGTAAAGAAATCTATTATTCTTAGAGAGACAAATGAATATTTATTACTATTTGTAGGCCTCCCAATTGACTTTTCTTTCTCTCTGTTTTTGTGTGTTTTGATAGATGTATCAGTTGAGAGTGAACTGGCACTAGACAGTCAGACCAAAACTTACAGAGAAAAGGTGAGTGTGATAGAATTAAGATGTGGGACCTTAAGCAAGTTCCTTCTACACCTTGGGTTTCTCCATCAGTGAAATGAGCTTGTTGAACACAAGGGTCTCCCTGGCTGCTCCCAACTCATTCAGTCTGTTTCTCTGGACAGTTAGTTTGTGCCTGCAGAAGCCTCCTTGGTCCCACAGGGAACAATCCTGCTGCCATCTCGGGCAGCTGAACACAGCTCTGTGCCAATGTTTGGAGTCGGTTCTCTGGGCTGATACAAGTGTAGCATAATGCATGTTTTTAGGATTTAGTCCAAGTTTTAGAATATATTGGTTGTAGCCTGAAAATATTCATGTTAAAACAAAGTAAACTTGAGGATTTTCAATGTAGAAGGTCCCTACAAAGGTCATCTCACCCCAAGATGGCAAATTGATTGAGTCTCTGGTGCTATGTGGAGCACTGTATTGAGAAGGGATGTGAGGCTACCTTTTGGCTCAGGGGAAAGAGTCAGTGATCTATTAGCCCTGTCTGTTATGGGTATAGGATGGGAGAATGGTAAATCTATTATCCCTGTCTGTTATGGGTATAGAATGGGAAAATGGTAAGCTGTGTGCTACAGATTTCCCAGCCCTAATCCTAGTCAAGTCTTTTTATCTTACTGATGGAGATGCTACTGATTGGCCAATCTGTTAATATCATTTGGTGCTTACAGCAGTCCTGTGAGGTAAATAGGTGCGATTCAGTCTTATTCACAGGTGAGGTAGTGATAGCTCTGGGATGCTGAGAGTGTCCCCATAGTGACACAGCTAGGAGGGGCAGCGCCTACCTGCCCTGTTCCCAGTAACCAGGTTTATCTCTTACACAGATGGATTCTTGTATTGAAGCCTTTGGTACCACCAAACAGAAGCGAGCTCTGAATGCCAGGAGAATGAACAGAGTTGGCAATGAATCTTTGAATCAGGCGGTGGCTAAAGCTGCAGAGACTATCATTGATACGAAGGGTGTGACTGGTAAGAAGTTGGAACTTGGGGTAAGAGTCTGCCCATAATGACAGCTTTCTCTTCTCTTGAGATCTTTTACCTATCCACAGATGGAATGCTGGGATCTAGGGCTGGATTCCTTTCTGCCTCTTGCTGAAGGCCTTCTCAGGGACAGGCTCTGAAAGTAGTAAGAAACATCCGACATGGCCTTGTCTTCTAGTGATCTCACAGTCAAGTACAGGGACAGACATGGAATGGATACATGCCTGCCGAGGTCATGGCGCTGGGGTTACAGCCTACAGGGCACAGAGGAGGGAGAAGGCCTCAGGTCTCTCCTTGTGAGTTGCAGGGAAGCGTTGGTCAAAAAGGCTGATGTGTTGATGGAAGTGAGCCTCCAGAGGTGGCATTTCACTTTGGGATCGGTGGCTCTGTTTCCGGTATTCAGCCCCTGGAGTATTTAATTGTATTATTTTAAAATGTATTTATTGTTCAAATTGAACATAAAAGCAAGTTTGTGTAAGAGCAGCTTTTCTTTTTACCAGTTTTGGAGATGAGGTCTTGCTGTGTTGCCCAGGCTGATCTTGAACTCTTGGCTTCAAGCAGTCCTCCCTTCTCAGCCTTCTAGGTAGCTAGGATTATAGGCATACACCACTGTGCCCTGGGCAGAGCAGTTTTTCTATTAAGAATGGAATTCTAGTAATTTTTGGAAAATCTTTCCATACCCTATGATTATATAGATTTCAACACTTTCACAAATTTATTTATTTATTTATTGGAGAAGGGGTCTTGCTCTATCACCCAGACTGGAGTGCAATGGTGCAGACATGGCTCACTGCAGCCATAACCTCCTGGGCTCAAGTGATCCTCCTACTTCAGCCTCCCAAGTAGCTGGGACCACACACATGTGTGCCACCACACTCAGCTAATTTTTTTAGTTTTAGTTTTTTGGAGAGACCGGGATCTTGCCATGTTGCCTGGGCTGGTCTCAAACTCCTGGGCTCAAGCCATCCTCCCACCTTCGCCTCCCAAAATGTTGGGGTTACAGGTGTGCGCCACCACACCTGGCCTCATAGTTATTCTTGTAGGACAGTTACAGTGTTATATTCTGAAAGTTTTGTTCCACCTACAATGTGTGGCCAATTTTTCTAGAAGTTAAGCCATTAAAGGCTATTTTGGACGTCCCTCACTTTTAGTTTCTCTCATTTTGTATTACAAATGTTTCTGTATTAGCACAGTTGTCTGTCCCAACTCTATTTTAAGTTACCTGAGGGGAATCTTGCCACCTCCACCTTCTCCAGTGCCTAGCTCGTGTTTGTTCATGAGTGAACATGGCAGTCCTGAAGCAGTCAGCCTGATGGAGAGGCCAAGTCACTTTGGCAGAAGCATTCAGACTTGGGGTTTCTGGACTGTTGGTGGTCTCAAGTGTACAGACTGAAAAGAATGTTGGGGAACTGGAAACAAAGAGGGTGATACGTGGATTGTTTCTTTATTGAAAAGCTCTGGTCAGTGATGCTATCCACAATGACTTGCAAGATGACTCCCTCTACCTTCCTCCCTGCTATGATGATGCAACCAAGCCTGAAGACGTGTATAAATTTGAAGATCGTATCCTTCTTGCAGTAGAAAAGCTGCCTTATTTCACAAGTGGAGATGTTTGCATGTGAGTGAACAGTCAGGTTTTCTGAGGGTGTCTGTGTTCTGTGACATTCACAAGAGCTCCATCCAAACCTTTGCAGTTGCTCAGTGCTCTTGCCAGGAGGTTAACTTGGCTTCCTCACTAGCTGAGGGACCAGCCCCTGGGATTCAAATCCATTCCTCAGCAAAATGCCAAATGCCCACAGCTCAGACCTTTGGGGTCACTCTCCATGGATAGTCAAAATAAGACTTTTGAACCAGTCAAATGCCCAAAGTCTAGGGCAGACCACTTTTGTAAAAGGAAGGGTTGGAACCTAGAATGTCACCACTCAATGGGTCCAGTTAGAAGGAAAATGCCTGCAGTGGCTTTGTGATGAGAAAAGGCAGAAAAGCCTGGGCAGGGAATGGGCTCTGGGCTGGGAGTCTGAGAACTGAGTCACCAAGCTCTGCCCCTATGTGATCTGCCCTGTGTGATCTTCGGCTCTCTGAGCCTCAGTTTACCTGTCTGTGACATGACGCTGCTATGAGATGATCTAGCTAGTTGGATGTTTCTATTTTGGTTGGATTATATTCTTGACCTGTAACTAGTTCTTTCCCCTGCTGAGTATGAAGCTCTTCAGAGCCCATCTGAAGCTTTCAGGAACGTCACATCAGAAGAAATACTGAAGATGATTGAGGAGAACAGGTACCCTTACTTAAGCAGATGGGGATTCTGGGGAGTGCTGTTGGGACACAACAGTAGTCAGACACTGTGCAGGTCCTTTGGGTGTCAGTCAGTGAGGTGGTATGTCTGTTCAGCATTTGAACATTAGTGAGCCAGTGTTTTCTTGAATGTTTGGGCTTCCAGGAGCTGTGGGTCACATTCAGGGGAGATGGTTGGTCTCTGAGTGCATGGGACCTGTGACAGGGCAAAGGGTGGTGAGGCCTTCTACTCCGGGGCTGGGAACCAGAGCTGGCCTGTGTCACCCAGTGTCATGCTGATGCTGATTGTCACTGACAGGGCCCAAATGCTGGCCTGGGAATGGGTGCTGTCCAAAGTGATGGTTTCTCTGTGATGATATGGTAGGCGAGCTTTTCTAACATTCAATTTATGTATTTAAAATATTGTATATTTTAAATAATTCAGAGATTATTTCCTTCTCCCTCCCCTTTCCCATTAAAACAGCTTCTTTTAGGATGATGGTGAGATTTTTTTTTTGCTTTTGAGTTTTTTCTTTTAATAGTTTGATTTTGATGAAGAGTTGTCAATCTGAGGTTTGTTCCTCCAATTTTTGTTTTTAAATTTTGCTTGTCATTGAAATCTAGCGCCTTTCCAGTGCCTTGGAATTACTATTATTACTCCTTTTTTTTTTCTTTTCTCTTCAAAGATATTTCCAAAAAAGAGCTCATTACTAGTTCATAGTTGTCTTAATGTGATTGTGACTCGGGCCGGTGCAGGAACGAACTCTGAGCAGGGAGTCTGAAAACTGAGTCCCCGAGCTCTGTCCTAATCTTCCCTTCTTGAAACCTCAGTTTTTCTGTCTGTAAAATGAGGCAGCTATGAGATGATCTTGAAGAGCCTTTTTATCTCTGTGAGTCCAGGGTCTTGCTAGCAGAACAGTGTCTGAAAATAATAGTGAGCATTGACTGAGCCTTAACATTATTGCCAAGCACTGTTCTAAGAGCTTTACTGGCATCATCTCTTAATCTAGAAAAAATCCTTAGGAGAAGAGTACCTGTACTATCATTGGCCCCAATTTATAGATGGAGAAACTAGGGTACCAGATGTCAAGAAACTTGCCTGGCTGGGCGTGGTGGCTTACGCCTGTAATCCCAGCACTTTGGGAGACCGAGGCAGGCGGATCACCTGAGGTCGGAAGTTGAAGACCAACCTGACCGATGTGGAGAAACCCCATCTCTACTAAAAATACAAAATTAGCCAGGCATGGTGGCACATGCCTGTAATCCCAGCTACTCGGGAGGCTGAGGCAGGAGAATTGCTTGAACCCAGGAAATGGAGGTTGCGGTGAGCCAAGATCATGCCATTGCATTCCAGCCTGGGTAACAGAGTGAGACTTAGTCTCAAAAAAAAAAGAAACTTGCCTAAGACATTAAATGGCAGAGAAAGGATTGAAACCCAGGCAGGCTGACTACAGAGTGTGTGCTCCTGACTATAAAAACAGGTCAGCAAACTACGGCCCACATGCCAAGTCTGGCCTGCTGCCTGTGAGTAAGTAAAGTATAAATAAAGTTTTATTGGATCACAGCCCTGTTCATTTACTTAAGTAATATCTGTGGCTGCTTTTGCACTGCAATGGCAGAGTCAGGTAGTTGCAACAGAGGTTGTATGGCCTCCAAAGCCTAAAATATTTACTGTCTAGCCCTTTATTGATCCCTGCACTAAACCATGTTCCTCCTGTTACAAGGAGTGTTGAGCGTACTGGCCTTCATCAGCTGCTTTTGTTCATTTGTTTTTTTGTTTCTGAGATAGGGTCTCGCTCTGTCACCTAGGCTGGAGTACAGTGGCGCAGACAGCTCACTGGAGCCTTGACCTCCTGGGCTCAGGTGATCCTCCTGCCTCAGGCTCCCGAGTAGCTGGGACCACAGGAGTGCCACCATGCTGGTTAAGTTTTTGTAGAGATGGGGTCTTGCCTTGTTGCCCAGGCTTTCATTAGCTGTTGAGTGTGTCAGGGGTGAGAGGCGCCTGCTGCTCTTGTTGTGAGAGGGAAATAGTTCCTGACAGAGCCTATCTTACCCTGACACAAGCCTCTCTTTCTTTTCCTTGTTTTAGCCATTGCACCTTTGTGATAGAAGCGTTGAAGTCTTTGCCATCAGACATGGAGAGCCGAGACCGCCAGGCCCGATGCATATGGTTTCTGGATACCCTCATCAAATTTCGAGCTCAGAGGGTAGTTAAGCGGAAAAGTAAGTCTATGGTAAACATTTAATTCTAATTGTTTCCAGTCTGTTATTTGTCTATAATTCTTAGATCAGTTCTAATGAGAGAAGAAAATCAATGTGTCTGTCCAAGTCTTTATTGTCAACTGTGAGATTCCTGCTGGTACTGCTGACATGTCGAGGGGACTTGCCAGGCCCCTTTTTTTCTCTGGATCTCCCATTTTCTCATCTGAAAATTGGGGCCACTTTGGATTATATGAGAGTTCAGGGTCCTTCCAGAGCTAACATTTGCTACTTCTATTCTGCATTAGGCAAAGTAGAATATCCAGGTCAAATAAAATGAAAATTTTAAGGGACTGTTAGAACAAACATCAGCCGTGTGTGTGTGTGTGTGTGTGTGTGTAGAGAGCGCTTATGAGTTACACATATGTATCTTGAAAGCTTGTGGCAGGTTTGTGTTGTGTCAGCTTATTTCTAACAGGAGAGCGTCAATCTGATGGTAACCCAGTGTCACGTGTAGCCAGGACGCTTTGTGGGTCACACCCTCATACCTACCCAGAGTTGGAAACCCAGGAGGAGATGTCTGTGGTTTTAGGCACAAGGCGTATTTAGTTGTTGTTACTGTGATTGGGCATCCAATAGTCTATATTCCTGTTTTTCAGTATAGTCATGTGTCACTTAATGATGGGGATATGTTCTGAGAAATGTATCCTTAGGCAATTTTGTCATTGTACAAACATCACAGAGTATATCTGCATAAACCTAGATGGTATAGCCTACTACACACCTAGGCTATATGCTATAAGCTGCTGTTCCTAGACTGCAAACCTATACAGCATGTTACTATGCTGAATATTATAGGCAATTGTAACACAATGGCATTTGTGTATCTAAATGTATCTAAACAGAAAAGGAATAGTAAAACTATGATATTATAATCTTTTGGGACCGGCTGGGCATGGTGGCTCATGCCTATATCTCAGCACTTTGAGAGGCCAAGGTGAGAGGATCACTTCAGGGCAGGAGTTTGAGACCAGCCTGGGCAACATAGCAAGACACTGTCTCTACAAAAAAATAAAAATATTAGCTGGGGTGGTGCACGCCTGTACTCCCAGCTATTTGGGAGGCTGAGGCAGGAGAAGTGTTTGAGCCTAGGAGTTCAAGGTTACAGTGAGCTATGAATGCACCACTGCCTCATTGACAGCAAGACCCTGTGTCAAACAAAATCTTACGGGACCATTGTCACATATGTGGCCTGTCATTGACCAAAAGAACGTAATGTGGGACATGACTGTATTTGCTTAGTCATGCTTTTTTTTTTTTTGAGACAGGATCTCGCTCTGTCACCCAGGCTGGGGTGCAGTCCTATGATCTTGACTCAGTACAACCTCCATCTCCATCTCCTGGGTTCAAGCAGTTCTGCCTCAGCCTCCTGAGTAGCTGGGATTACAGGCGGACATCACCATGCCCAGCTAATTTTTGTGTTTTTAGTAGAGATGGGGTTTTTCCATGTTGGCCAGGCTGGTCTCGAACTCCTGACCTCAGGTGATCCACCCTCCTTGGGCTCCCACAGTGCTGGCTGGGATTACAGGTGTGAGCTACCGCACTCAGCTTGTATTTGCTTAGTTCTTTTTTTTTTTAGACGGCGTCTCGCTCTGTCACCCAGGCTGGAGTACAGTGGCTCGATCTTGGCTCCCTGCATCCTCCACCTCCTGGGTTCAAGGGATTCTCCTGCCTCAGCCTCCCAAGTAGCTGGGGTTATAGGTGCCCGCCACCACACCTGGCTAATTTTTGTGTTTTTAGTAGAGACGGGGTTTCACCATGTTGGTCAGGCTGGTCTTGAACTCCTAACCTCATGATCTGCCCGCCTTGGCCTCCCAAAGTGCTGGGATTACAGGTGTGAGCCACCATGCCCAGCCAGTTTTTTTTTGTTTTGTTTCATTTTGTTTTGAGATGGAATCTCACTCTATCGCCCAGGCTAGAGTGCAGTGGCGCAATCTCGTCTCACTGCAACCTCTGCCTCCCGGGTTCAAGCTGTTGTTCTGCCTCAGCCTCCCGAGTAGCTGGGATTACACCATACTCAGCTAATTTTTGTATTTTTAGTGGAGGTGGGGTTTCACTGTGTTGGCCAGGCTGGTCTTGAACTCCTGACCTCAGGTGTTCTGCCTGCCTTGGTCTCCCAAAGTGTTGGGATTACAGGTGTGAGCCACTGCTTCTGGCCACTTAGTTCTTATTTTCACATTCCAATTCCAGCTTTCCCCGTCTCTCCCTGAGCTTTCAGCACAATTTTTGTTTTCTAAGGTCATGTTAAATCTGCGTCCTTAGGCCTCCGGCTGTGTTTTCTTGTCACTGCCCCATCACCAGCATCTCTTGTGCAGGACAAGCTGCAGGCTGAAGCACACCAAGCATGTTTTCATTTCGATGTGGCCGTTCTGCTTTGTGGGCCCTGCTTCTCTTACCACCTGGTTCTGGTCATACAGTGGCTCAGCTCCTGGCTTTTCTCTCAACTCATGGTGGAGGTGTGGCCTGAGGGTTTTGAGAGAAAATGATCAAACTCAACTTTGTGTTGTAGGTGCCCTGGGACCTGGAGTTCCCCACATCATCAACACCAAACTGCTGAAGCACTTTACCTGCTTGACGTACAACAATGGCAGGTCAGGGGGTGGTTTCTGGGATTTTTCCTGTGCAGGAGAAAGTGGGTGAGGGTTGGGAGTGAGCAGCAGGGGCTTAGACTCAATTCCACGTCCACAGAGTTGCAGTGCTGAAGAGACTGCTGCCATTTGGAAGGCTCCTGGGGCCCCAGTAAGTTTAGCAAACGCTAAATATAACATACTCTGTCCTTTTTGGAAAAGTATTACTTTTGGGGAATCTTAGAAGCTCTGGGAAGTCCTCCAATAAAGACTTGTTTTACTTCACATACTTTTGAAGAGCCCTTCCTGATGTCCCACAGAGCTGGTGTTTGCGGAAAGGCAGTGTTGCAGAAAAGGGCAGCCCAACTCGGTGACTCAGGAAATACCCGCAAGCGTTGCCCCGGGCTTCCTTCCTGCCATTTGCCTGGAGTATGTTTTCTGCTCTAGAGTGTGCTTGAAAGAATCAGCACAGCTGATTTCGGGATGATTGTTTTCCCAGCAGCCCTGCTGAGCAGGCGGGGACAGACTCAGCGCTAGCGGTGTCCAGGGAGAGTGTAGGCCCAGCCTTCTCTGTCTGCCTCAGAGGGAAACATGGACTGGCCCACTGCTCCACTGTGCGTGAGGCCCAGGAACCTTGGAAGGGCAAAGAAGTCACCCACATTCCTTTTCCTTTCCTGAAGTTGGGAAGACATTCAGTGCATATGAGAATAGGGTTGGATGTTCTTATTTTGCTTTTGGAGAAATTGAGAGTTTAATTTTGTTTCTCCTTTATTGCCACTGATTTTCTAGATTACGGAACTTAATTTCGGATTCTATGAAGGCGAAGATTACTGCATATGTGATCATACTTGCCTTGCACATACATGACTTCCAAATTGACCTGACAATGTTACAGGGGGACTTGAAGCTCAGTGAGAAAAGGTGAGCACAACAGAATAAAGAGCTCCCTGCAGGGTGCCTTGATGTCTTATTTCTGGTACCACTGGAAAGCATGAGGCACCACCAAGGGAACTGAGGATGTTTAAATGTGGGAACAACTTGGACTAGAGGACTATTTTCAGTGAATGAATCATTGACTGAATGAGTAACTAGACATTACTGAGTGCCTTCTCTGTGCTAGGCACGGTCTTAAATTATGTCATCATCTCACTGATTTCCCTAGAAAACAATTGAAAAATCAGGCTCAGAAAAGTACATGACTTTCTCAAGGTTACACAACCAAGAGGGGAGTAGTTGGCCTTGAGACCTGAGCCTTTCCGTAACATTCTGTTCCTGAATAACCAGGCAGCCTCCATTCTCTGAATTGCTGTCACAGGGGAGCGGGATTCTGTATGGGTCTGAGGGGTGCAGCCCAGGGTGGAAGTTGTAGGACAACCCAATTTGAGCTTAGTAAGAAGAGCTTCCTCACAATCAGATGGAAGCGTTTGCCAGGGGAGGTGTTCAAGGCCAGGTGGAACCTCCGTTTGGCAGGGATGTCATGTTTGCACTTCTCTGACCAGACTGGGAGAGCTGGTGGTGGAGGTGACCTTTTCGGCTCCGGCTGGCCTTGTAGAGGAGATTCAGACAGTAGGGGCAGAGCTGCCCAGGAACCGTGGGGTCAGCTGATCTTTGTCAGTGATTTAGGGGCATCTGACATCCGGGAACCCAGAGGGTGTCTAGGAGAGCCTGTGAACACACCTCTGTCTGGACTCTGTAGCAGTCCATGGAGGGACTGTTCTGAGGGCTGTCCACAAACTGTACCCACAGGCAGTGAGGCTGGAAAAAGAGAACAGGTACTTGGAACCTGTCAGATTCTACCAAGTGCTCAATCCTGGTTGCTAAAAGTTTGGTTATGGGAGGTAAAAAAAAACTTGCTCACAGGGCTCTGGATACCCTGGTTTTTCATCACCCATATGGATCTTTTTGAAGGGCAGCACATTAAAATGAAATTGGCTGATGGTTCCCAGTGGGTGAGGGGACCTTGCCTGCCTCTCTGCCAGGGGCTTTGTGCCTGCTGGCAACCTTTGGGATTCTGTCTTTATGGCCTGGAGCATGAATGTGTGCTACCTTTGGCCAAAGCCCCCTGAACAGTCACATTGAGGGGTCTCTCCAGTTGTTCTGTTTGTGTCTTCCTTAGGATGATGGAGATAGCCAAAGCCATGAGGCTGAAGATCTCCAAAAGAAGGGTGTCTGTGGCCGCCGGCAGTGAAGAAGATCACAAACTGGGCACCCTGTCCCTCCCACTGCCTCCAGCCCAGACCTCAGACCGCCTGGCAAAGCGGAGGAAGATTACCTAGATGCATACTTTCCAGACAGGGCATTTTGGCTGCATCATAGCCACTGGCTGGTCCTATTCATTTCCATTTTTATGTTTTAAAAAGGAAAGGTGCAGGGATGGTGGCTCACACCTGAAATCCCAGCACTTTGGGAGGCCGAGGCGGGAAGATCACTTGAGCTCAGAAGTTTGAAACCAGTCTGGGCAACATAGGGAGACCCCATCCGTGGGGGGTGGGGGTGGGGGAATGTCAGGCCTGGTAGTATGTGCCTGTAATCCCAGCTACTCGGGAGGCTGAGGCAGGATGATTACTTGAGCTTGGGAAATCGAGGTTGCAGTGAGCTGTGATTGCGTGGCCACACTCCAGCCTGGGTCACAGAGTGAGACCTTGTCTCAAAAAAGTAAAATAAGGAAAAAAGAAGCCTTGCTTTGGCACAGGTATGAAGCCAGAAGCGAGCATCTCAATTGTGCTTGTCTTATGCAGAAATATAAAGTGATGGCCAGGTTGGACTTCATCTCTCTCCTTTGGCATTACTGCTGTGATTATAAATGGCAGATGTTTCTCATGTTGGTTCACCTGTGTGGGGATTTGGGAGGATGGGGCTTGGGGGAAAGATCTCACCAGGCTGAGTCAAACCTAATGGATGAAGGTTTCCAAAGAGAAATGTGAAGTGGTGTTCGTAGGTCTGGAAGGGTCAGTGGAGCATGTGGTAAGGAAGGAGGATCTGGCTCAGCACGCCTGGGAAATGACACTTCAGGCTTTATCAGAAGGTAACTGGGTCACCAGTGTGATGGGGAGCTGCCACAGGCCAGTAGGATACAGCCTGTTGTAATGGGGTAGAGCCAAGTCAGAGGAAGTGGTGACCCAATTTCTCTGCCTGGCTGAAGCCACATAGAAGGCAGGGGTCAGCTCTGAAGGCCACACTTTGAAGAGAATGAATCAATCAGTGTTAAGTTCAGAAAATCAATTGCTCTTGGTATCTTAAGAAGAAAGGATTTTAATGTACGGATAAGGTGTTGCAGAATCGTGAGAAGGGCCAGAAGACCGGGAATTGGAAGGTTGCCGTCGGGACTGCTGAATTCAAGAACACACTGCTGGGGCTGCCTTCGGGGACTCAGAAGCCACTTCTGCCCCATAACTGCTCCTGGAATTCGTGAAGCTGAAGATTCACCACTGGGCTGCTGATTTCAGCTACCCATGCTTTCTTCTTTTTCTTTTTATGTTTTTGAAACAGTCTCGCTCTGGAGCCCAGGCTAGAGTGCAGTGGCACGATCTCACTCACTGCTACCTCTGCTCTCCGGGTCCCAGTTCAAGCAGTTCTCCTACCTCAGCCTCCCGAGTAGCTAGGATTACAGGCATGTGCCACTATGCCCAGCTAATTTTTTTGTATTTTTAATAGAGATGGGGTTTCACCATGTTGGCCAGGCTGGTCTTGAACTCCTGACCTCGTGATCCACCCGCCTTGGCCTCCCAACATGCTGCGATTACAGGCCTGAGCCACCGCACCCAGCCTACCTATACTTTCAAAGGTCCTGTATTTCTACCACCTTGTCACCAGAGGCAGCCAAAAGGTCAAGCAGCTGGCCTCCACCTTGCTTCCTTCTGGTGCGCATATGTAGGAGCCTGATTTGCATGTAGAATCCTAGCAGCAAGGGAGTCTTTGAAATAGGTTTCAGCTCGCCAGCCTCTAGTTACAGGAGGCATTCTGGAAGGACATGAATGGGTTATAACTGCCAACCAATTGTATGTGCCACTGAGGAGATGGAGAAGCTGTGTCCAGAGGGGTGCTATAAGGACCGGAGTGTGACACAGGAAGGCTTAGGTACGTGGCCTGGGCCCAGTCTCAGATCTCCAGGGTCCTGCTTCAAGTGGGAGCAGTTGAGATCTGTGACACTCAGCGCCTGGGAGGCCGGGTCAGTGAAGGAAGGGAGACAGAGCTCAGCTCCTCTGAGAGGAGAAGTTTACACAGCACCTGGGGCCCTCCATTTGGGAGTCACGGTGGAAAGGAGTCTTGGCTGAGTTTTGGGGCAGGTGCACCTTTTTTTCTTTGTGCTCTGGGATGCCCTCGGAGCCGTGCTCCTCTGCTTTGTCCCCATCCGCCTCTGGCCCTGGGTAGGAGGCACTTGGAGCATACTTTGTCTTCCTCCAGCAGAGGTGTGGGCAGGGAATCTACTTACCTCTTGTTTTTCTTTAAGCCGTTGTGAAAATCAAGTATGTGACTCTTCCTTGGAAAAAATAATCCCAGAAAAGGACTTCTAATACATCCTCAGGTTGTGATTAATTTTAAAATTCAGATGGGTTTGACACTTTGAGGCTGAATTTCTGGAAATGACTGGACAGAGCATGTGACTGGGACCCTCTGAAGAACCTCTGACCTAGTGGAGAAGCAGGTGGTAATGACTGGTGGTATGGATAGGGAAAGACTCGGCGGGCAAATACTTGTCATGTTTGTCAACAGGTGTATCTTGCTAAATGTCGGGGACACATTCCCAGGGCTAAAAAGCAAATTTCTGTATATTAGGACATTGTGAATCCTTAGGAAAGGCTCAGAAGAGGGCTCTACCTAGCACAATACCTGACATAAAAGTGGTCAGTGTCTGCAGAATGAGTCAGACTTTCCTTGGCAGGGTTATTAGGTAGAAAACACTTGCAGAATAATGGAATTGTACTAGGGTTTCTTCTGGCTGTAGAAGCCCATTTGTTTACTAATAGCTTCCCAGAAGATAACTTGATCTCACCAAGCTATTTGCCAGAATGTCTCCTGATGGCCTCCTTGAAGAAAGGGGGACTGTGAGCCAGATGCTGGTGCCCTGAAGATTTGTAATTTGTGGGATAGTCTTAACTTGCAGGGTTCGATTAACAGAATGAAGTCTGTTCCTTGGAGGGAAGTCTCTGCTTGCTGCCCTGACCTGTTGGACACTGTTAATTGGGATGGGGTCTAAGAAGGCATAGTTACCACGTTTGCAGGAGACCCTAACCTGGAAATAGTGAATTACATAACATTCTTTCAAGTGTCTTCTCTTTTCAGAAAGTATTTTGGTACAGTTACACAGAGAAAACTTGCAAGAACTCTTGTATATCCTTTACCCAGATTCTCCAATTAGTAATACTTTGTCCCATTTACTATTTGCTTTAGATATTTTGAGATTTCTCTTTGAACTATTTGAGGAAAACATCCTACCCTTTTACCCATAAGTACTTTTCAGTGTATACATCCTGAGAATCAGGACTTTCTCTTCCATAACTACGGTCTACCAGATGCAGGGAATAAGACACTAATACAATACTATGACTTAGCCCACAGTTCATGTTCAAATTTCACCAATCACCATGCCTCTTTGGTCTTGCTCAATCTGAAACAGTTCAGATTTGTATTGGATTTTCTTGGCTTTGACATTTTGGAGAGTGAGGTGTTATTCTGTAGGGTGTCTGTCAGTTGACATTTGGGGCTTCCCTGTGATCGGATCAGGATTTCCATTTTTGGCAGGATAGCACAGAAGTGATGCTTCACCCAAGTGCATCACATTAGGGGCCCAGGATGTGGCGCTGTGCTTTCCTTGCTGCTGTTAACTTGTATTAGTTAAGGTTGTGTTTTCCCCTTTGTGAAGTTACTGTTTTTCCTTTTAGTTCATAAGTAATTTGTGGAGGGATACTTTGAAACTAAGTATCCTGTTCCTCATCAAACTTTCACCTACTAGTTTCAGCCTCAATGGATGATTCTTGCTGAATGCATTCCCAAGATGGTTGCAAAATGGTGATTTTGTAAATTATCATTTCTTCTAATTATTGGCATGCTCTTACAAGGCAGAGCTTGTTTCTCACCCTTAGAAGTTTTGTGTTCATTTAGTTATCGGCATAGACTCAAGAGTCTTGTGTTCTGTGTGGAGTCTGTTACTGTGATTCCTTGTGATGCCCGGATTGTACGTATTTGGCCAATCTTGAGTTCCTTCAGGAAACCTCCTGGATCCCATCATTTTAAGGGTGCTTCCTTTCTGACATAAGATATTCCAGGCCTACCTTGTACTTTCCCTGCTGCAGCCCTGGAGTCAGTCTTTTGTTTTGGTTTTGATTTTTAGAGACGGGGTCTTGCTCTGTCAGTCAGGCTGGAGAGCAGTGGTGCAGTCAGCTCACTGCACTCCTGGGCTCAAGCCATCCTCCTGCCTCAGCCTCCTGAGTAGCTAGGACTATAGGCATGTACCCCCATGCCCAGCTTTGAATCAGTCTTTTATCCAAGGAGCTCTGGCCTTTTAGTGGAGAATAGCAGATGACATGAATGATGGGCCCAAAGCAGGAAGTGAAATGCAATCCTGACTGCCAGACAGATGGGATCTTCAGCTGCACCCAGGCAACAACTGGGCTCAGAGTAGAGGTGACAGCTCCGCAATGGGTAGCTCAGGCTTCACCAGGAGGCCATGCTAGCTTTGACTTCATTTTATTTTATTTTATTTTATTTTTATTTTTTTTTTTTTTTGAGACGGAGTCTTGCTCTGTGCCCCAGGCTGGAGTGCAGTGGCGCGATCTCGGTTCACTGCAAGCTCTGCCCCCCCGGGTTCACGCCATTCTCCTGCCTCAGCCTCCCGAGTAGCTGGGACTACAGGCGCCCACCACCTCGCCCGGCTAATTTTCTTGTATTTTTAGTAGAGACGGGGTTTCACCGTGTTAGCCAGGATGGTCTCGATCTCCTGACCTCGTGATCCGCCCGTCTCGGCCTCCCAAAGTGCTGGGATTACAGGCTTGAGCCACCGCGCCCGGCCTGACTTCATTTTAAAAGCACACTAACCACAGCTGATAGGCTCAGGAACTCCATGAAGGGCACCCTGCAGAGGTCTGGAGGGTAGTGAGAAGGTCCCAATGGGGCGAGCATGCCTGTGTCAGGAGGCTGATCAGGGTAGGAATAAGCCCAGCATGCCCCAGTGAGCCCACCATGAGGAAGCATTTGGGGAGAGCTTTCTCTGTGTTGTTGGAAGGGAGATTGAAGAAGGGGAGCCCAGGAGTGCTGTTGACAGTATAGGCTCATGTGCTGTTCCAGGGCCCAACTCTGGCTCTTGCCTGGTCTGGCCATACCACGTCCACCATGTGCTGTACTTAGGACCTCCTTTGGACACCAGGGCAGTGGCCTCACCAAAACCAGGAGGCTTAGATGATGAAATCATACTGGTGTTTGCTGTGCTTGTACATTCCCATCAGCAGACATCAGTGTTGGGGCCTGACTGACCAACAGGTAAGTCCAGGGAGGACACAGTATAAGCTGCTACTGTAGACTGAAAGCAAATGATTCCAAGGAAACACAGTACCTTAGAGAATTCTCTTTAGATCCATGAGTGCTGCCCATGGAGCTGGGCCATTCCTCCTAAGACGCAGGACAGGACTCCTCCATTTTGCCGCTTTGGGCTTTCCAAGACCTACTCAGGCCACTGGAATGAGTCTCGAGAAATGACCAGAGTGGTGAAGAGACACCCTGCAAACTGGCACATATGAGAGGAACCCAGGAGGGCAGCAGACCCCAGGGGGATG